TCAGTTAGGGTTTTTCCGACTTTTGGACACGCATGGACTCGGCGAGTTGTCTAGAAACTCGGTGAGTCAACTAGGGTTTTTTACGGTTTCTCGAGTTCTGGAAGGACTTGATGAGTCAGTGAACTGCACTCGACGAGTTGGGTCAACATTGACTGTTGACCTTGACCGTTGACTTTGACTTTCACCAAGGGTTGACCAGTTTGCCTTCTGGGGGTATTTTAGTAAATTGGGAATTTATGGAAGTGGTCCTATGATGAATATAGGTGGTAGAGTTCATAGCTGTGATTCGAGAGTTTGATCTTAGCACTGCAGTTCGACATTTGTGAGGTGAGTTCTTCTCACTATATCAACAGGGTCTAAGGCACCAATGTCGACCCTTTTTGGATTTGTATCCGGGTTTATTGCATGATATGTTATTGATTTACATCTTGGTAGTTAGAATGGTGATATGCTTAGTGACCTGGTTGGGTCGGTATCCTGGTATATAGGATAATGTTATGTTAGTGACCGGTTAGGTCGGTATCCTGGTATATAGGATAATGTTATGTTAGTGACTGGTTAGGTCTGTATCCTGGTTATAGAATATTGCTATGATTAGTGATCTTTTAGATTGGTTTGACTGTTGTATATACTAGCGTATCATATTTATGTGCACATGATTGTTTGATTTGGGGGTCGGGTTGAGGCGGACCTACTTTGTGCAGAAGGCCAACATACCCTGGGCGGACCGGATAGACTGCAGACCCGGGAGGGCATATTAGTCAGGTCGAAGGCCCGACGAGCGGTCCGGATAGGCTGAAGGCCCTGAGAGGTGGTCCAGACGTGTTGAAGGCTCGGAGAGCGGTCGAGATAGACTGAAGGCCTGCGAGGTGCTCCAGTCAGGCTGATGGCTCATTACGCATGTTGTTTGTTTATATGATATGATTATGATGGTATGTCGTTGGTATTTTGGGGGAACTCACTAAGCTTCGGGCTTACAGTTGTTGATTTTGTTTCAGGTACTTCTGATGATTGCGGGAAGGCGAAGGTGTGACTGTACACATCCTTATGTTTTATGATTTGATTCTGGGATACTCTGACACTATACTATTTTGAAAACTAGTTTGTAATAATTAATGGTTTTGAAATGTTTTAAAAAGTTTAAATTTGGCATGATTTTTATGTATGTTACAATATTAGTATTATTTAAAGTTATTATTAACACTTGTATAAATATATTTATGGTTTTTGACTTATTATAAGAACAAATGGGACTGAAGCCGCAATATATTGAAGGTTGGAGACAAATTCGCTACAAGAAGGCTTGGGTTGGTGTACAAGTCGAGCACAAGAAGATTGGGTAAGTGATAAACGAAATGAATATGTTGTTTAAATATGTTACTATTATTACTTATAATTTTTTTGTTTAAGGTATATTGTTATTGTTTTAATTATCGTATGTTTATTGTTTTCTTTATTTTAAGAGAAAATCCAAGACAAATATGAGAAAATACAAAGCTAGGTCGGGGAAGGCCAAGAAGTAGATGAGGAAGAATGTCTTGCACGTGCCCTCGAGACGAGACGCGGGCATGCTCGTGGAGTGGGTAGGACACCCAACCGCCAACTTTGGTCTAATTCCAAATGAACGAGCTTCCACTTCCGCATCATCCCAATCTCAATCCAAATCTCAATCCCAATTCGATGCACAACAAATACAAGAATACTTGCAATAATATAATGTATCATTGGAGGCATGTTTTCCTAACTTCCAACCACCACCATTTCCTATTGTTCTATTCAAATCAACACACAAGGAAGTAACTCTCAACAAAATATATAGCCCGAGAGGATGGAAGAAGACGAAAAAGAAGAAGAAGAAGAAGAAGAATAAGAAGAAGAAGAAGAAGAAGATAATTATGTTTAATGCTTTGTGTTATTTTGAACAATGTTAAGTACTTATTGTAATATTAAACTTAAATTTGATGGTTTGAATTGAACAATGATAGCTAGTTATTGTATCTCAATTGATATATGCTGCAAAGTGTTTGGAATTGTTATAAATGCAGGAATGGTAATGTACATAATCCGTAAAAACTATAAAAAAAAATAATAAAAAAACTTAGTGGCTATCCCGATGACAGGTCGTCACTATAGGTATTTGATCGACAACTATGAAAACTATGTGGCGACTATAAGTCATCGTTATAGCTGGTACCTATCCCGACGACATGTCGTCGCTATAGATGTAACCTATCGTGACAACAAGTCGTCGCCACAAGTAATTAATAAAACTGTATTTTTTTCAAAAATATTCTTGACGAAACATATACCGACTAAATGTCGTCGGAATAGGAGGAACCTATTCCGAAGACACCTATGCCGACGACGATTTTGACATATCCCAACAGGACTATGCCGATGACTTAGTGCCGATGAACTGTCGTCAAAAATTGACATCGCCACAAGGGGTTAATGGTGTAGTGTGTTCCCACCAGGGACACATCTATCCTATATGAAGGTGGGTCCTAGGACCCACCTGGTCTTTTTAATAATAGTGTAGGAAAAAAAAACAATTTAAAGAACTGTCTTAAAAATTTACTAGGACTTACCTTATGTCTTTATACACTTTGACAAAAAAAAATGTATAAAAATGTATGAGCCTATATTTTTATTCTAATCTATTTAAAATATGTTAATTCTTTAATATATTTAAAATGTGATAGCCAAATCCATTAAAATTATAAAAATATATTAAAAAAGTAGAAAAAGGAAACAGAAATGACTAACGATGAAGGCTCTATCCGCGTGCAACACTGCGATATCTCCTCTTGGTTATGCTCCTTGATAAGGTCCATTTGGAAGAACTTTATTATAGCTACTGAAATTGAAATTATGTTTAAAATTATGTTTAACTGTTTTAGGGCATACGATTCGACTCGCGCTAGTATTGTTTACTCATATTTTTTTTTCGTTATAAGGCCAACTCCAATACACCTCTAAAATACCATTTTAAATGTCAATTTTACTCCAATCAACCTTTAAAAGTCACACCAATTTTGTGTTGATTCGTTTTTAACACCAAATATAAAGGCGAAATGTAAAAGCCTCTAAAAAACACCATATTATAAGTTGGTTGGAATCAAATACTAAATTCGCAATGTTAAATAATGACCATTTTATGCTTGTGGTTGGAGAAACTCTAATTATATAAGGAACCACGTAGTTTTTTATTCTAAATTCGTCACTGGTTCCCAAAGATCAAGAAGACATTTAAATGAAAATTAGAGAAATAAAATATTGGTTTGGAATAAAATGGTATATTTAGTAGGTATTTATATTGAATATAAAAAAATAAAAAAAATCAGAAAATAAATAGAGTTAAGAGAATAGACTCAGAGAGAGAGACGTGAGAACAAACTACCGAGTTGGGCTCAAAATCTCGACATGCCAGTAGGCCTGGCAATGAAGCGGGTTTTGACCCTGATCCGATGCAAACCCTTAAGAATTATATGGGTTTGGAGCATAATTTTTTATTTGTTTAGCCGTTGACGACCCATACCCGCTAACCCTTTTATTAAAAGGGTTGGGTATGGATCATCACTAATCCGCTCCGATTATAACCCGCCCCGTATAATTTTTGAATTATTGGTTTATATTTTATATTGTTTAAAGTTTAATTTTAATTCCAATCGAAAGTCCAAAGGGAAAATGCCAAAGTCCAAACTGTTTATACATAAGAATCAAGCAGTCAACTTCTAGACTTTTAGTCTTCTACTAAGAATTATGATGTCATTTCATTTATATTTCATCAAGCAATCATCATATTTCATTCATAAATCAATAAATTCATTCATCAACTGAAGATAGTTTGTCATTGTTATTCTCTATCACTACAATTGACAGTAAAAAATAAACCAGAAGTTACTACAATAGTGATTTTTAATTCCAATCGGAAGTCCTCGAGTACGTAATGTGTTTTTCTAAATCAACATTTGTTTTATTTAAGAAATATTATTTTATAAATTAAGTAAAATGTGTTTGATAATCCAAAAAGCCTATGGGTTACGGGACGGGTTTGGATATCCGTTGATTTCGTGGATAAGGGTATGATTTTGATTATTCAAAACCTTATGGGTTATGGAGCGGTATGATTTTGAAATTTGTTAAAAGGGTTTGGATCAAGGTCGATTCGCTCCAAACCCGCCCCATTGTCAGGTCTACATGCCAGACATAGGGGTATAGTTTGGCGAGGCATATTGCCATTACCGAGTCCACTATGCAGATTGAACCAAACGAGATAGACATTTATGTAAATTACTTTTGTTTTTGTAGGAATTCAGAATTCTCATCAATAATGCATAAAAGGTTTAAAACAACAGTGCTTGTATAAAATATAAAGTATAAAATATAAAAAAAAATTGGGAAGGGGGGGGGGCGGCAAAAGTTGATGAGGAGATTTTGGGGCAGTTACGCAAATTTACGGCAAAATGCAAATATAATCCGGATCAATGAATTTGTTGCTCACATATAATCGTTTTAAAACCCTAAAACAATTTTGAAGAAATCGGCGTGGAAGGGCAGCAGTAGGGGGCAAATTACCAAATTGGCAAAGATACACTTTTGAGTTTTCAGCCACGATCGAGGCATGCGTTCATCGCGAAACTTAGAATAAATCAAGGTTTATGTATGTATTCTAATCATCTAATACCTCCAAAATACTCATTATGTTATAAGTTGGAAAATGGCTTTTGTTTTCCCATGGCCTGATTGAGTTTCATCATATTCTGTTTCACTCCTTTGTTTATATGTACAACAAAAGACCAGAAACTCATCACTGGAATATGTTCTTTGTTATTGTAGTTCCGTTATAGCTGCTTTTACACAATCTGAAGTTATTTGTATAAGAGGTACTTTTTTCAGTGCTTAAAACAAATTTTATATCAAGAATTTGCATTAATTTTACCAAACACCCAATTATCCATGTCACTTTTTCAACTGTAGCAATTGCTTAGACAAGGAGTATGACTGAAAGCGAGAATCAAGAAGCATCTAGCAAGAAGAGTTTCAAGACTTGTGACAATAATGATCCATCACCTTGGTCAGATCTTAACCATGAATTGCTTTTTACAGTTATGATGCAACTGGGAGTTGTTGATTTTCCTGCATTCAGTGGAGTTTGTAAGTCATGGAGGTCATTTGCACTTTCTTACAAAACCAAGTTTATGGAGTCCAGACCAATCATTTGCATGTCTATCTGTACTGAGTCTAATGAAGAAGACTACAACTATTACCTTGATGATATAAATACTGAAGGAAGAAGCTTCAATTCAATTCTTCCTCATTCTGGTGGGAGGACATGTGTTGGTTTTACTGGTGGACACTTGATCTTATTCGGGAGTAAAACTCATGATTTCTGGCTTCTTGATCCTGTCACAAGGCACGGAGTTCATTTCCCTAATATCCCTTCTTCAGTAAGTGATGATCCAGCAAATATCAGGGGTTTTCTTGTCTTTTCACCTTCAAAATCCGGGTGGGTGTTTGTTATGACAGATGGATCTGCCAATATATGGTATTCTATATCGGGTCAAGGCGAATGGAATCATGTCTCATCAACTTCTCCTATTGTTGATTTAATTGCTTTCAATGGAAAGATGTATGCCATAGACAACTCTGGTCATTTATGTGAACTGACAATTAATCCTGAGCCTAAATTATCGATACTTGAAACCAAGAATTTTCCTAACTTTCCCAAACTTCAGCAGTTTTATTGCTCGGGTGAAAGCCTTTATGTGAGCAGATATTTGCCAGTGGTAGGTCATTACGAATACCACAAACTAGATTTTGAGGAAATGAAATGGGTGTTATGTAAAAGTTCAAGAAAAGCATCATCCAGTAACACCAAGTTGAAGCGTATTGCTGCTGCTAAACAAGGAAAAAGCAAGTTATTTATTTGGCAACATATGGTATACCCCAAAATTGTTTGAATGATAATCTCATATATAGGCGATGATAACTTGTTAGCACTATTTATCTTTTTCATTTTGAATTCTCATGTGTTTGAACTTTTTAAAGATGGTTACCTGTAGTACATCGACAGGTGGCACAACATACTATGAATTTTATCTCTTTTCTATTTGGGTTGGTGTTCATTGCTCTAAATTTTAGCTAATGCGTTATGTGTAACACATTGGAATGTTTTTATGCCAAAGAAGGACTTTTTGCTGGTCTTTTCAGCTGAGAAGAAAATGTTATTGAGAATGGTGGCACCAATTGATATAGTAATTCTAAATGTATTATTTTCATCATTTTAGAATTAGATCAAATTGGGTAGCCTCTTCCCATTAAATGAGATTGTCTACTTTCATTATTGAGCATGATCAAAAGGAGAATTAAATTCCTTTTTTTTCGAGTATTGAAACTTGGTATTTTCTTAATATAAAGAGACTGATTATGAGATATTACATTTTTAACACCAAGAATTGTATCTAGTTTTCCTAGATCTTTTATCTTAACATCAATGATACATGGGATTTCGTCCCAGGCATAGGCATAGGATTTGAGGTTGTGCTGGGAATGAATATATCATCCATGGACAAAAGACTCACTACCATATAGTATGTTGAACAATATATGCACCTATGGTAAGGCTATGCAGAGTGGGTTAAATTCCCACGTGTTAGGTGACATGGCAAGGCCAAGTCACGTGTGAGTTTTCTCCAAACACCATCCCCAACCTAATCCATTGTAATGGCTGGTGACTCCTACTGCGGAAGCTCATGATCTCTCTCCTTCCTCCCTTTCTCTTTCTCACTCTACTTCTCCCCTTCTATCTCTCTTTCTTCCTAACTAACCTGCATCCAAACACCATTTCCTATATCTTGTAAGAAGTTAGTGGTTGCATTTGTTAGCTGATGTGGCACATCTTTATGCGTAAGAAGCTGATGTGCACTCCATATAGCCTAATGAAAAACCAAAAGCCATGATGTCTCGACCCCCCTTGTAAGCAGGTGTTAGTTATTTGTAAGTAAATTTGAGGGATATCTCTTTGTCAAGCTATTTGTTAAGTTAAAGATAATATGTTAAGTTGCTAAAATTATTGGGAACATTTTGATATAAAATAAAGATAGAAGCCAAGTTTTAAGAATTAAAAGTGTAAGGCCCTGTTTGTAATAAAAAGAAAGTTGCAGGGCGATTTTGGTAGTTGTATAACTAGGGCCTTATTTTTAGGTGTTGTTTGTTTTTTGTTTGTGGACCTTTTTGGCCGACCACGCACGGAGATTAGGCTTGGCAGACTGTTTATTTTTTTGAAGACTGTAGACCTAAAAAAGGTTTGTGCGTCCTTTACATGGCGTAGATGTGAACTAGAGTCTTCAATCCTTAGCAGACATCTTTTAGCCTAAAAAACACATATATCTTTGTTTTTTTAAAACTTAGATTTATTCCACCTTTATCTACGATAAACAATTTGAAAAAAAAAAAAGTAATACTATACTAAAAGAAAGAAGGTTTGACGACACAATCACGACCTTTGTGACAAATTTATGAATAAATATTTAATTGCAATAATGGTCGTTAGAGCTCTTCATATAGATATGAATAAAATCATAATATTGTCTTACATTTTTTGTGTCAAATTTATAAAACATTATTTAATGCATTATCATATATATATATATATATATATATATATATATATATATATATATATTTAAAATATTCATGGTCAGTTTTTAATTGATTTAGTTGAAAAAGTAAAATGTAATTTTGAAAATTTTTATTTAAAATCAAAATTTATTCCCATCAATTTTATGTGTTAAATTATTTTATCCTTAATTACAATGTTTATGTATAACTTTGCAGCTAAAGTTTGATGGTTTTTATGAAATCTATACATTAGTTTGTACCATTTTATTTTCACTTATTATACAATATATAATACATAAAATTTATCTATATTTGTTAATTATTTATAATAAAGTCATAAAATTATTGAAAAACTCTTTTAAGTTTAAAAAAAAATCAGTTTAATTAAATTTTAGTTTATTCTAGCATCATGCAGATGTTAAAAAACAAACAGTCTTCTTCTTTAAAGACTGCAAGCGTTTGGTCCACATCTTCTATTGCAGAGGTATACAGATGTGATCCGTACACAACAGACGTTTTGCCTAATAAAAAACAAACAACACCTTAGTTCGTAAAGAATCTTACATGGAAACTGTCGGAAAAAACCGAAACCGAATTGCACAGTAGAACCAAATGATGTTTAAACTATTTGCTTCATGTTATTCATGTAACATGTACCCCATTTTTAAAGTTGTAGTAGTAACTCGGGTGTACTTACCCTTTTAAAAGAGTTGGTTTTGTAATAATAACTTTATATATATATATATTATATATATATATATATATATATATATATATATATATATATATATATATATATATATATATATATATATATATATGCTCATGCTAGTAAAATAATACTCTAAAAAGTCGTATTGTTTTGGAGGATTTGCATATTTGGAACCAATAAACTGTTAGTTGATAGTCGATGTTTGGCACCATGAAAGAAGTATGTAATAGACTCAAAATGATTAAATTTTAATTTTGAAATGTAATCATGACGGTATATAACACATGAGTTAAACAACCGACTAAAATGAAGTTTGTTTGAGAAAGATATAACCGTTTGAAATTTGGAAAATATTGTACGTAAGCTGGTTAAAGTATGTTGCATAAATTTGGCACCCGAGGGAAAAACATTGGTCGTGTTTTTTTACACAATCGTGTAACTTGGACGAACAAAAACTAATATGTTTGTAATCTTAGTTTAGACCATTATGTCCCAAATCAATCATTCACAGAGAGCACGGGAAGGACGATTTTGTGTCCTTGGGCGTGATTTGAAGCTAGAAACAAGAAATTTCAGAGAAAAAAAAGAAAAAAAAAAGAAAGAAGAATCAAGGTTCATTCACTTGCATTGAAGGTGGGTTCTTCCTTGTAGCGTTCTTTTCTTTATTGGAGGATTTCTCATAAACCCTAGATGTTGAAACTTATTAATATGTAAGAAGTCTTGAAATAAGATGATGATTTAAGAATAAACATGTTTCCAATAGTGGAAGATAAAAATTACACCATGTAATTCATATTATGATGAATTGGAAGGGGATATGCAAACCATGTTTTTATATCTTGTACATGAGTTGTAATCTTGACGGTAATGAATAATTGAGCATAGTAGACATGGTTTCTACCATGAAATAGCAAGATTAAGCTTGTAAATTCTAATATGGTAAATTGGGAAATTTTAAACCAAAACCCCATTTGAGCAAGTTGTTAGATGAATGAAAATGATAATGTATCTTGATAAATTGATACACATAAACATGAAAATTCTGAATTTTAACATGTTACAAGTGGTGCGTTATGAATTGAAGAAACCATGTGAATAATAAGTAGTAAATTATGTGAATAATATATGCCAGTCACCGTCGAAGGTCGTATATACAACACATTCGCTCTTGAAGACACGACTGCCAACATCTACATCCCTTGTCCCTATTCTAATGGGAATCACGGGGTCTAATGTGCTTGTCGATCCTTATAAGTCTACTATTAAGAAAATTGCTAAATTTGTGGGATAACCACATGTAGAAGTCTATATATTAATTAGATATGGGTAACCATATGAAACAAGTTAATCTTGCATAGGTGCATATGATACTTAATTTCAAGAAAGGATACACAATTTAATTTTAGCTTGGGTGATGCAAACCCCACAATTTGAAGAAAAAAAGAATCAAGTATTTATCCAACAAACCAAACGTAACAATATAGTGTAGAAACCAAATCCCAAAGCCCAAAATCAGAAAAAGACATCAAAATCGCATATAAAGGTGAGTGAATAAATAAATTGCAAAACCATCCACCAAATTAAGTCGGGTCTCTAACATCTTGAATATGTTGAACATATGCAAGATGCAAACCAAGATAAGAGTACTAAAAAAGTAATTAATCATTTATGAGATTAAACATCATGGAGAAAGTACCACATGTTTGTAGCAAAGAACCCGCCTTTCAACTTTTATCAGTAGTATCTATCTCATATTGTGACCGAGTGTCAACCCATGCCCGTGCCTCTACTTCAATAGCAAAACCATACTTTGAGTTGGCAGTGAAACCATATTCTTCTATTGTCTTTCCACCATCATCTAGTTCCTCGAGAACCTCGTATGGATATCTTACATGTGAAACCATATAAAAGCTTTCACCCAAGCGTTAAAATGCATTACACAAGTTCAGTTTTAGATTATTCTTGGTTTCGAGTAATATCAATTTGGGGTTGGGATCCAGTCTCATTTCAAATAAACCACGTGCATTGTCCGGGAAGATATCTTCCCCTAGAAAAGCACATAAATTAGAGAGGTTGAAAGTGGAGGTAACATGATTCCATGCTTGTGTAGTACCCGCTGCACAAAACAATATTTTCTTGGTGAATCTAAATAGCACAACAAACACCAACCCAGATATTAAAGGTGAAAAGAAAAGGATAACCTTGATTAATCGTGGATTATAACTCTCTAAAAAGGGGATAATACGTAAATGAAGTTCATTCCTTGTGATAGGATTCACAAGCAAGAAATCTCAGGTTTTCCTCCCAAGAAAGACCAAGTAACCATAAGTTAATCCAACATAGTTCTTGCCACCCGAATGAGGAATGATTGTTTGGAACGTTTTCCCTTAAAGTCCTAGCTTTAGGTAGCAGCAGTAGTCACTCTCATCATCGTCAATAAAGATACGTATGGATATAGGTGGTCTTGATGCTATAAACTTGCTCCGGTTAGAAAGTGCGAGTGACCTCCATGACTTGCAAACTCCACTAAATTCAACAAAATCAACAACTCTCAGTTGCATCATAACGAAAAAAAGCACATCATGGTTAATATCTGCCCAACTAGTCTCATATCTCTTCTTGTTCGATGCATTATCATTTTCGTTCCTAGTCATACTCCTCGTCTTAGCCATTCTTACACTTGAAAATGAATCATAAATATGTGGATGTGTGGCTATACAAATTTCACACACGATACAAAATAAAGATTCAACCTATAATACCTCAAACTCAAAATTTGAAAGTTATTAAATAATGAATTTTCTGGTTGAATTAAGAGACGGGAACTCAGATACATACAAGCTATATGTAATCATTGATTTATTATATGTTTGGCGATGAATGCATACCTCAGTCGTACGTGGAAGAAAACCCGAAAATGTTTTTAGTGAAATCTTCTCTACACTGCCCTTTCATGTTGATTTTTTCGGGTTTGTTAGGGTTTGGGGACGATTTTGTGAAAGAAAAATTCATTGATACATATTTTGGTATCAAAATTTAGGCAAGATTTCTAGATGGAAATCGGTTCCATGCGTATCCATTCTAGCGGTTTCTGGCTTCCCATTTTTCATCAAATTTTGCTAACAACCACCAAACTTTTCTTTATTTAACTTTTGCCTTAACACTTTATCATAATTAGAAATAACTGCTTTATAGAGTGTTTTTTAAACATTCATTCCAAAAAATAGTTATAGGCCTTCTAAACTTAAACTAAGAAAACATAAATAAAATAATACTATCCAAAATACTATCTTTCCGCATTGAAGGAGATTCAAAGACACTATCGTTATGAAACTTTCAAAATATCTGACATGTCACTATCACCATAACGTCCATCCTCTCTTTTTTCATTATTGAATGTCACATCATCAATCAAGTAAAGTCATTCTATTATTGAAATTGAGTTCGGGAACGAAATATCACATCACTTAGCTACCAATTTCCACACATAAAAAAAGATGTTCATTAGATTCCACTCCGAAATTAAACACATTAGAAGTAATAGAATGTAACTTCATCCCCTTTCTTGATAGATTCCAACGATCCGGTAGCATATCCTGGACTAATCGACACATGAACACGGTTACTTTCCACGGGATCGCTTTACACCATCTCCTGCTAGTAGTCGTATCCGTAAGGATCATTTCGTCAATGTATCTCCTCGTCTCACCTACTGTGAACTCCCCCATGTCATCTAAATCCCACCGCAAGTAACACTACAAGACAAAAGTGATTTTGCTGGGGAAGGAATCCGTTCCGAAAAGCTGAAATTCTTTTGCAAAAGATGAATAACGATGGAATTTGTGTAACAACGTAAATTCCAAAACAATTTTTCATTTTTAAAACATACTTTTATTCATAAGATGATGTCAAACATAATGTATCCAATGTTATCATAACAAAAACATATCCCAGAATCTCAAAACATAAACTCCAGGGTGTACGGATCATGCGGGCCGCCTTCCCACGATCCTCGCTAGTCCTGAAACACATAACACATCAACTGTAAGCATAAATGCTTAGTGAGTTCCCCAAAATACCACATACGCACATACGCCACTCAAGGCTATAAGACCTTCTGGTCACTGTGTCTTAGAGGACTTCCGTCCACAACCCTGGTAGACCTTCGGTCCTACCCGTAATGACCTTCCGGTCCATATCCTCTTGACCTTCGGTCATATCATAATGACCTTCCGTCCTTAGCATTCATAACATACATAACACTTCAATATCATATAACAGTATACAACACATACATCTCATAGCATATAAGACCTTTCGGTCACACATAGGTACCACTCTAGGTACAGTATAGTGAGAAGACTCACCTCGTACGATGTCGGATAACCTCTCGTGCTCGATAGCCCGACCTACCCTCCTCCTATTAACATAATAACATTCTTGATCAATACTCTCTCATAGCCTCGTCTCTAAATATTGGGTAGAAGGCCATCCTACCCCTCCCTGAACTCCCCTGAATCAGCTTGACCAAAACCCTAAGGTCAACTGAAGTCCACGGTCAAACTTTGACCCGACTCGTCGAGTGCACATGGGCGACTCAGCGAGTCCATGCGTGTCCTCAGAATCCTTCTAGCCTCACTTGGCACGTCGAGTCATCCCCTCACTCGACGGGTTAAGCCTGTCACGAATCGCGGGGCAACCCCGACTCGACTCGTCGAGTCCACTTATGAACTCGGCGAGTTGCTTCCATGACAACACTCAAATGACCTTCTGAGGTCAGATATTCTTCTCTAACCTATAGATCTGACCTTCCCAAACACGATAATCACGTAAAGATTCAGTCTTGACATTCATGCAACGCTCCCAAGGCTTTCCTTGGTGAAATGGCTTCTAAAATGGCAACATAGTCTCATTCCCTCCATGAACCCACATAAAGCAGAATGGATAAGGCCCTCTGGACCTCTAGAGGTCCAGATCCAGAGTCTAACACTCAAAGGGACAACCTACTCAACCTTTCAAGCCAAATAAAGGGTATAGAAAACCCTAAAATTCAAGGATCTTAAACCAAACAGAGAAAGGATCGATTTGCTACCTCAACACTGTAGATCCAAGTGGAAACCACGGATTAGCAACCCTCCTTGTCCTCCTTTAGCTGGAAACACCTTCTTCTTTGCAAAACAACACCAAAAAGGTTAAAATGGCTTTTCTCTCTCACACAACTCGCTCAAGCTCTCTAGGGTTTCTCTCTCTGGACTGGTAGCCGCAAATGAGGGCTATAAGGACCCTTAAATAGGGCACAGGCCCAAAGATTTAGGGTTTCTGTCCATAGCGCGGACTCGTCGAGTCCACCCTTCGACTTGTCGAGTCCCTTCATTAATCCAGTCAGCAAAACGCGATCCTACTCGACGAGTCTAGGCGTCAACTCGTCGAGTCCCTCCTCAAAACTCAAAATAAACGAATAACATAGAGTACCTGGGAATCGGATGTACAATTCTCCCCCACTAGAATCAGACTTCGCCCTCGAAGTCTCGCTCGACAAACAACTCTGGATGCTGCTCCCGCATCTCCAACTCCGGCTCCCAAGTCAGCTCGGACCATCTCCGTTGTTGCCACTGGACCTGAACCAGGGGCACTCCCTTGTTCCTCAGAACCTTGTTTTTCCGATCCAGGATCGCGATCGGTCTCTCAACATAATTCAGGCTCGCATCCACCTGAATATCCTCCAGCGGCATCACCGCCGACTCGTCGGCTATACACTTCCTCAATTGAGACACGTGGAAGGTATCATGAATCTGGCTCAACTCCGCAGGTAGCTCCAAACGGTACGCTACCCTGCCCACCCCTCGCGGTCACCCTGAACGGACCAATATACCGGGGCCCAGCTTTGCCCCTCTTCCAGAATCAGATCACTCCTGTCCAAGGAGACACCTTCAGGAGTACAAAGTCTCCCACCTGGAACTCAAGCTCGGATCGTCGCCTATCCGCATAACTCTTCTGGCGACTCTGAGCTGTCAACAACCTCTGCCTGACCTGCTGTTATCTGCTCGTCGTCTTGAAGCACTATCTCAGTGCTCCCCATCACGCGATACTACCTCTCCCCAACAAATAGGAGTCCTACATCTCCTCCCATACAACAACTCGAAGGGAGGCATACCAATACTCGAATGGTGGCTGTTGTTATAGGAAAACTCAGCCAACGGCAAGTACGTGTCCCAACTTCCTCCAAACTCTAACACACATGCTCGAAGCATATCCTCGAGCGTCTGAATCGTCTGCTCACTTTACCCGTCTGTCTTTGGTGGTATGTGGTGTACTGAAATGCAGCCTCGTACCCAACTCCTCATGGAACTCTTCCAGAACCTGGAAGTGAAACGTACATTCGATCTGACACAATAGAGATCGGTACTCCATGACGCGATACCACCCTCTCACATACAACTCGGCCAGCCTCTCTGCGGAAGAGCTCTCACTGATAGCAAGAAGTGAGCGCTCTTCGTCAGCCGTCAACGATCACCCAAATTGCATCGAACCCTCGCGGTCCTCGGCAATTGGTGATAAAATCCATAGAAATCTGTTCCCACTTCCAGTGGGGAACCTCAATGGCTGCAACTTGCCAGAGGACGCTGGTGCTCGGCCTTAACCTTGCGACAGGTCAAGCACCTCTCAACAAACCACGCGACATCCCTCTTCATACAGGGCCACCAATACTCTCTCTTCAGGTCCCAAATACATCTTAGTGGCCCCGGGGGGATGGATCGAGAACCTCGATCTGTGCGCCTCTTCCATCAGAATGGTATGTGCCCCGCTTATATACGGCACCCAAATCCGACCTTGAAATGTCATCAGCCCTCGGCCATCGGTAACGAGCTCAGACACCTGCCCGATCACCCGCTCCCTCTTACGGTTCTCTGGTATCACGGCTCTGCCTGGGCCTCCCGAATGGTGTCCAACACCGGAGTCATCACCGTCAATCGCATACAAATATCTCGAATCGGGGCACACTCTCTGCCCTACGGCTCAGAGCATCAGCTACAACATTAGCTTTGCCCGGGTGGTACAGGATCTCACAATCGTAATCCTTTACCACATCCAACCATCTCCTCTGGCGCATATTCAGGTTGGGCTGATCCATCAAATACTTCAAACTCTTATGGTCCGTGTATATGGTACACCGAACCCCATACAGATAGTGACGCCAGATCTTGAGGGCGAACACCACTGCCCCCAACTCCAGATCGTGGGTGGGATTACCTCGTCTCATGAGGCTTCAGCTGCCTCGATGCATACGCATCACATGCCCTCTCTGCATAAGCACCACCCAACCCCGATATCGATGCGTCGCAGTACACCACAAAATCCTCCATCCCTCTGGAAGGGATAACACCGGGGCTTCGCACAACCTCTGGCGAAGAGTCTCGAACGAGGTCTGCTGCTCCGGACCCCATGAAAAAGCAACGCCCTTCCGGGCAACTTGGTGAGAGGCACGACAATCTTGGAGAAATCCTTGATAAATCTCGATAGTAGCCGGCCAACCCTAGAAAGAAAACTCCTGATCTCGGTGGGGGATCTCGGCACCTCCAAACTCATCACAGCCTCAATCTTGCCGGATCGACCAATATCCCATTCTGGTTAACGAGATGCCCCAAGAACTGGACCTCTCGTAACCAGAAAT